GGGAATCGACCGAGAGATGAGTCGCTAGTATTATACCTATATTTTCTTATTATCCGGTTCCGAGACTGTTCACATATGCTCTAAATGTTACTTTTTATTTATGGTATATAACTGGATATTTACCGTAGCTCTTTTTTAACCGACTTCCAATTCCAAAAAGGAAGAGGTTCTCACTTCGTCGGAATCTTTTTTTTTATGTATGTTTACCGATTACTCGAAGACGCCTGAACCGATTTAGATTTTTTTTGTTTCAAAGGGTATACTTCCCAGGTGGTCCCATATAAATTTTATCGTAATCGGTCGAGCGGTTTTTTAAACAACAACAATAAATATATTTTTTAAATAAATTGTTTAATCGAATAAGTTATTAAAAATCTTTCTATTTATAAATTACCTGCTTATTACGTCTACACTAAAAATGGAAAATAAAAACATTTTAAGAAAAAATAAAAACCGACTTCCAGGCACAGACATATTTACTTTTTCTTTAATATCTTTATGAATAGTTCGGACATTTTATTTTCTTAGTAATAATGTATAAATGAGCAAGATATAAATGTAAAGCTTGTCACTTTTATTGGAGATCCTTAACAAAATAAAGTAAATAAAAATTATTTAATAATCGAATTAAAGTAATAAAAATCTCAAACTAAAATATACTTTATTCAAATTAATTTTTTATCGCCTATTTAGCTAAGCCTTTTGAATTGTTTATTTATGAAGACGGTACTACTGGCTCGGAATGCCGTTCCGTTTAGAAGATCCGGTAAGTAAATTAACAGTAGATCTTATTAAAGAATCATCTTCTATTATTTTGCACAATTTTCGGTTTTATTTTGATTTTGTAAATTATAACAAACGTCATAATAGCAACTCTAGTTTAATATTTTCATTGTGTACCTATATATAACTATAACACTTCTGCCTAGATTTTTTTATTATATTTAAAAAAAATTAAGTAGATACTTTGTGTCACTTTTCTTCCTAATCTATACATATAATAAAATTATAACTAAGCTGAATCTGTACATAAAATATTTTTTGGAAAAATCTTATTGAAATAGACATTATTATCGATACAGAGGCCAAATCTATAGTTTTTAGAATTTTTGTCTGTCTGTTACCGCATCACAGAAAAACCACTGGAGGGATTTTGATGAAATTTGGTATGGTGATATCTGGTTATCCGGGTCAACATATAGGATACTTTTTACCGCGGAAAAATATCTCATTTCTGAGAAAAAATACAAAAACTGCAATATAAAAGTAGACTAATATGTAAAACCTAAGAATTTGGTTTTTGGTCATCTGAACGCGGGCGGAGCTGCGAGCAATGCTTGTTATTCTATAATTTGTAGCAGGTGTTTTCTCTGTAATAGCAACATACGGTGACTTTTCAAACGTCAAAAATCGTAGTTTGTTGCAAGACCAGGTCTGCGCGCTGTAAAGCGTAAAACGTCGCGTCGAGAAAAAAAAACATAATAAAACAACGAAAAAGTCCAAAAAAATGTGAACAATATTTGGATAAATCTAAGAAAGAATATGTAATTGCATACAATTTAAGAAAATATTGTTTAATTTTGGTTCGAATAGTTATATTTGTGCTTATAGAAATAGTATCTGTTATGAGAATGAATGAAGTTGTTGACAATGACGTACTTACGAGCTAAAACGATATTGGGGATAGTTTTTTTTTATACTTAAATAAGTTCAAGTCCACATTCGGAGGAATAATCGTATGGGATCTATCTTACTAATATTATAAATGAGAAAGTTTAGATGAATGTTTTAAATAAAACTATCTTTTCGGATTTTGTCGCGGATTTATTTGGATTTTTGTTTCCCGACGTTTCGAATGCTTTACAGCATCCATGGTCACGGGAGAGACTGAGGTGTTACATGTCTTGAATGTATAGTTGTTACAGACAGCCTACCCACAATTAACAAAATGAAAATTGCACCAATTACATTACAATATTTTTTAACTTTAAACATTTTTATAATTTTAATTATAATTGAATATGGAAAATTATTTATTTAATTTTGCTATTATTTTTATAATTATTACAATTTTAAAATATTAATTAGTAATCTATATTTAGTGTTGCCATTATTATATTTATAACCATAAAGAAAAATATAAAATGTAGTATTAATTATTAAAGCCATATAATTGTTCTATGTGTAATTTAAAAAAGTTAAAATTAATTAAGGATAATAATTTTAATTTAGTTTGCTATTATTTAAAAAACAACTTACTAAGCAACACTATTAATATATACTTTTACAAATGGATGCTGTAAAGCATTCGAAACGTCGGGAAACAAAAATCCAAATAAATCCGCGACAAAATCCGAAAAGATAGTTTTATTTAAAATGTCAAATATTCGCGTAAATCTAAGAAAGTATTATTTAGATGAATGGTTGAACGGATCTAGATGAAACTTGGCACATATATAGGTAAATACTTTTTATCCCGGAAAAATGTACGAAGCCCGTGGGATAGATTTGTTTTTTTTTTCTAGAGGCGATCCAGAGCGAATCAAAGGTGAGCCGCTGGTGAATAATATAATGTAGAGATTGTAGCTCTCTATACTCCACAATGAACTTAAAATTATTAATATAAGTTAAGTAAGTTTTTTAACCTAGAAAAGTGATCGAGTATTATTTTATATTATTAAATAACTTTGTAAGCGATACCATAACAACATACTTATATGCATTTAATAGCATGCACAATTAAAATGACGCATTATGTAAAATAGACACTTCACATCCTCTCGACCATATTTACATCAATATAGGAAAATAACGAGTTTCCGTAGATGAAAAATATCTAGACTTAATCTCGATTGGCGCTATCACAGAACTATTACGATTAACTATTACGATACGATTCTCATGTAATATTTGTTAACACAACACTGTTTATAAATAAATATTATTAAAAAAAATATAAGTACTTAGATAGGTAAGTTATGGTTAAGTACTAATATAACATACTGTTAAAGGCATTACAAATATGTTATTTTTTGTGTTAGAGTATAAAGGCAGTTTTTTGTTCCGTTTGTATAACGTCTGCGGCTACACCCGCGTGTTTATTTCAATTTGCGCATAACTATTAAAAACGATCCCCACATTTTATACCTTTAAAATAATTAAATTTGTTACAATGATATGTAAAAAAATATTTTCGGAATTTTCGCGGATATATTTTGATTTTTGATTCCCGACGTTTCGAATGCTTTACACCAATCATGGTCAAGGGAGATTCTTTGTCAAATATCTAAGAAAGTATTATCATGATATGTTATAGTAATAGCTTTTGAAATCGGTATAAACTAAGTAAACTCGAGCTATGTTAGATATAGTTTAACAAATTTTATTTTTGAATATTATTATTATTATGAATAAATATTATTAATGTAATCATTTTTTATATTTCCATTTTTTTATTAAAAAAAATAACCTGACACTAATGGTTAAATACATAAATTAAAATATATACTTTTTATTTATTCTGCAATTGCTATCAACCGTAATGTTTCGTGATAACGTCACTAATACTAATAGATACGAGAAATACAAAGAATAAGACAAACTTAGTACTTCAAGAGAATAATAAACATACATAATATAATAGAAACAAATTATAAAAAATAACATTATTATTTTTAAACATAAACTCTCTTTTCTTGATACAAAAACCTTTCGTGAAAACACCAATGGCATGTTATAGAGTAATTTGATTGTCATCAAACAATTGTTCCAAGACCTTCACAAATCAATGCAGTAACCCGATTTTCTAACGAATGCTTAAAAATTAAAAAAAAAATATAAATACTGTCTTAAATTTACGCATACATTTGACATTTTAAATAAAACTATATTTTCAAATTATTCGCGGATTTATTTTGATTTTTGGTTCATGACGTTTCGAATCTCCCGAAAATATAATAATAATATTTATTGCGAAGGTTATTTTACAATATAATAACATATGTGTAGTTTATTTCACTTATGCATATAAGCAAGTAAAAACAAAAAATTATAAAAACAAAATTCAGTCAGACTCAACAGAAGTTAGACTAGACTTAAAAATAATACATCACTGTTGAGTACAATATAGTTTTATTTAAAAAATCTATTAATTAAAGAACTACCCTTACCGTTCATTTTATACTAATTCCACAATAAAACACCATACACAAATAAAAAATTATAATCACGATTTTAAACCACTTTTGCGTATACGAATTTGGCGAGCTCTCGACTGGAGGCTGTCGCGCGCGTCGTTTAAATACAAAGTGAACTGCGATGCGCGTGCGCTGCTATTAACTGCGCGATAAAGGTTTGACATCTCGATTTATTCTCACGTACAGTAAACGTAATAATTTCGTAATCGATAATTATCGATCGTAGTTAGTATATGGCTAGTGATAATAGTTATAAATAAAATTATCAAGTGAAATTAATTTACTGTTATATTCTTCGTTTTTTTTTAATGTATTATTTAATATTGTATATAAATAGAATTTTAAATAATAATTTATAAACCAGATGAACTGATGTGTATTTTTTATGAATTTATATTTATTAATTTATTATTACTTTTTAAATTAATTTATTTATTTTTTCATCTCACCTCTTTTCTACAGGATGTGTGGCATCAAAGCTATGAGACATCATCCTTGTCAAATAAAAATGATTGGTCAGAAAAAAATTATAAAATTTATCTATTTTATTTTTATTACACATTATAATTAAACTCTATAGTCGAATCTTTATATTAAATATTTTTTTGGAAAATTTTATTGAAATTGTTATTATTATCAGATATACAGAGGCCGAATCTATAGTTTTTAGAACTGTAATGTAATGTGTAAAGATATTAACTAATTATTATTAATAACAGTCTATTATTCAAGAAGAAAAAAGTTGACAGCTCTGTCAAATCTATGAAATTTTGAATTAATTTTAAAATTAATTTCTTTTGCAAAATGGTATTGTGCTCTACTTGCAACGTGAGTATTTTAGTTAGTCAAAAGAGAATAAAATGTACAAATGGTACTTGTTTTCTCCTGTATCATATAGATTGTGTTAATTATAATGACAACTCAGGAACTAGTCGTTCCAAATGGATTTGTCTGGCATTTACAGCTATAAGACCTAGCGAAGGTAATACGAATACGTCATTGCCAACTAAAAATCGCAAAGAAAACTCACCAGATAACTTACCTCAGCCTTCATCCGAACAAAATATAAAATATCAGAATGTTATACTTAATGAAATCCGTAACTTACGAATGGAAATGAAAGAACATTTCGATAATCAGCAGGAGTGTTTACATAAATTTAATTCTACTCTATCTCAAGTTCAGCGCGACGTTAAGGAGCTAGGCACCGGATCACTAAAGAATGAAGTTGATAAAATTTCTAAGTCAATGCAATTTTTCTCCTATGCTCATGATGCTCAAACAATCATAAATGAGAAGACCGAAAAAACCTTGTCAAATATTTTGACTGAAAATAATAATATGCGTGTATACATTAATGATTTGAACACTAAAATGTCGCAATTAGAACAACAAGCTAGAGATTGTAACGTAGAAATCCAATGCGTATCGGAACATAAGAATGAAAACTTAATTACGGAAATAAATAAATTTCATATGATGATAGCTGGTTATTCGGGTCAACATAAAGGATACTTTTTACTTCGGGAAAATATATCTCATCTCTGAGAAATCTATAAACTTTATAAAAACTAAAAAAAAACTAACTTCCAGACACTAAAATGTAAAAAATAACTAAACGGAGGTTTTCATTTAGAATAGATACCTAATCAGATATTTTTGAAGTCGGTGCCAGCCAATGCAAAGCAAATCTAATATATTTCGATACGTAAAATACATATTTACCTATTAGATATTCATATCTTAAAATATTGTCGGCTGGCACCGACTTCGAAAATATCTGATTAGGTATCTATTCAAAATGAAAACCCCCGATTAGTTATTTTTTACATTTTAGGCCTGGAAGTCGGTTTTAATTTTTTTTTACAAAGTTTTTATTTTTCCATTCTTAGTGTAGACGTAATAAGCAGGTAATTTTTAAGAAGAAAGTTTTTTCATAACATATTAGATTAAACAATTTATTTAGAAAATATACTTCTTGTTTATTTTAAAAAAAACGGCTGGACCGATTTCCTGGTCACCTGGCAAGCATATCCTTCAAAAAAAAGAAATCGAAATCGGTTCAGGCGTCTTCGAGTAATCGGTGAACATACATAAAACAAAGATTCCGAAGAATTGAGAACCTCCTTCTTTTTGGAAGTCGGTTAATAACATAAGTAAGGACGAACTAGAGCGGAGCGAGGGTGAGTCGCTAGTGATTAAATAAAAGTTTATTACATTATACAATTTTCAGATATCATAGTTAATGTTAATATGCAATTCATATATTGGATAATAATTTTGGTACAAATCATGTTTTGAGATCTTTTGAAAACTAAATCTTCATAAAACGAATGAGAATCATGTATCAAGACTTTTTCTTATATTATCTGAATTTACATACATTTATTAATCTTAATTGCATATGATATACAAAAATTAACATACAATAACATTAATTAGCAACAAAGGTACATGATAATTTTATAAAATTAATAACATGTAACTAATTTCGATAGTCGTTTAACTTATTTAATGTCAAGTAGATTTTGATTTATATTGATTTATTGATCAATAGCTGTCTTAATAAACTAGAGTTTTAAACGTAGAATAGTCAATAAAATTAACATCATTATATATATATATATATATATATATATATATATATATATATATATATATATATATATATGGAAATAAGCAATAAATAAATGAATTGACAAAGTAAAAAGTAAGATGTAAAGTGACATTTAAAACATTTTTAATTCCTCCACGAACGCGGACACGCCGGCGTTACAGTTAACAATAGATTTCTTAGAAATTTAATTAATTTATTAGAAATTTACCTGGAGGTGCCAAAAAAATATTCTTCCAAATATAGGCGTTTCCTTATATAAAATGAAATATACGATGATCTACGTAGAATTCAATGGAAGTGGCAGGTAGAGCTGACGTTACACCAACTACGGTATGATGCGAAGGAAAACCTCGTGAAGAAACTTGTATGTCTAAGATAACCTAATATTTAGTTTAGAAACGACATGTTGAGATCTTCACTCATCCAGCATAATGGACTGTAGTCTCCCTTTATCATTTAAGGGTCGTCCCAGCAGAGATACGTTAAAAAGGGTTGAGGTAATGAGATATTTTATTGTTTAATTTAAGAAGAAGGTGGGTGTTGTAACTTGTTGATACCTATTTCTATCTCTGGAATTATATTCTCCAAATAGACACAACAATTTTCTTACGGTATATTTAAGTAAGACAATTCATTAAGACTAACCATTTCTTGCAGCAGCCTCTGATCCAGATTCATTGACCATCACAGCAGCTTTTTGTAACGCAGAAATGACAGAAGAATTTACTGTTGGGTCATGACTTATACCGTTTTGGTTTGCAGTGCTTGGATCAAAAATCGCCGAGATATTTACCTGAAGAATAAAATATTATTTTATAAATTATTTATTAAATCCTTAATTTTACTTTTTCTGTCATTGCTGAAATTGAGATTATGTGACAAGTTTCTAACTAAACTTTCAAATATAGAAGACATAAATGTTTATCTTCCGCACTGTAATTACTTATATACATATTGATTAATATCTGATTAAGTAGAACCCTGATCTTAGCTAATCTACCACTTACTTTCCAAATGATGGCAAAGACCAGAAAATAAAACATAAAATAATAAAAATATGTGTACCTTTTGAAGAATATCTTTTAAATCTGTTGTTGTAGTAGTATCTATAGTAGGCAAAGAAATATTTACCCTTTTTAATTCCAACTTACTAATTGCATCCTGCAATACTGAATTGGTTTTGTTTCTTATTTGCTCTAATACCTCATTTAGCTCATCTTTTAATTTCGGCAGAAGTACTAGGTATGAAAAATTACTATTTACATATGGTAGCTCAATAACCTGTAGATGAACAAAACAATATATAAGTATATTAAGAAATAAAGCATTTTGAATTAATTATAAACAATTGTTTATTGTTAATCTCAACCAATAAAAGTACAAATAAGAATAGAAAGATTAGAACAACAAAAAAAGGAACATTGGTTTACGGGGAGTTGATAGGGTTGGATGCTGTATTCAACCCTTTTTAACGTCCCACTGCTGGGCACGAGCCTCCCTTCAATACGAGAGGGATCAGGCCATAGTCCACCACGCTGGCCAAGTGCGGGTTGGCGGACTTCACATGTCTTTTGAAAACTTGCTAAGTTTTCTCAGACATGCAGGTTTCCTTACGATGTTTTCCTTCTAAATTCTGATTACTAAATTCTGAAAGACGTGGACATGATGGTTTCCTCACGGTAACGATGATGATTGCCTGCATCGTATTAACATTCTAAAGCGAGTGTTTTCCCAATGCAAGAAGAATTAATAGAGTCAAGCCTCAATATCTCTATAACACTGCACTTTCAAAAAGTACAAGCTTTACATACTCAAAATTTTATTGACATTGTTTCAATTAGAAATTATAACAGTTTTAAAAAGGAGGATAAATCATAAACAATAAAATAAATAAGAATATTAGAAATATCCGTTACGAGGTTTTTTTAAGGAATTATCTATCTAACTTTTGTTGTGGGAAGACAAACATTTGAGTGTTCGAGTTACAACATTAATTAGTACATACATATTATAAGTATATACATAAGTATGATGAGTTTTATATCCCTGACATGAGAAATAATTGATTCTAAATACAAACTTTCATCCCTCTTTTCACCCCCTTAAATGGTGATTTCCGGGATAAAAGCTACCCTATGTCCTTTCCAGGGTCTCAAACTATCTTCATACCAAAATTCATTTAAGCAGTACAGCAGATTTTTAGTTTATCCGTTACAAACAAACATACAAACAAAAAAAATTTCCTCTTTATAATATTAGTATATGTAGATAATTTTTGTTTGTATGATATCTAGATACCGTATTAGTTTCATTATACTTTTTACTGTATCTTACTTTACCTTGCATTGTGTTTATTTTCTTTTCCATTAACTAAATAAAACTTTTAGTTGTAATTATTATAATAATTACAATTTTTTGTAAAATAATAATAATTAGTAATTTATATTTAGTGTTGCCATTATTATATTTATAACCACAAAGAAAAAATAAAATATTAATTATTTAATCCACGTAATTGTTCTATGTGTAATTTAAAAAACACATACCAAATATTAATACGTATAATTGTTAGGATACGGAAGATTTATTAATTAAAATATAAGTGGTTATCAATGTAGGTCGCTGGAATTTTTAGTTAATAGAAAACACTTTAATTGACATTTAAATATATTTACATTAGTAGCAATTAAAAATTGATAATTTGTATATTAGTTATAAAGACAATATGTTAAATCTAGCCAGATCAAATATACCGAATGGCAGTGGAAAATCAAAATAAATAAAAAATACACGTATGTTCTATGTGAAAAATAAAGTTAAATCCAAAAAAGTCGGTATCTTAAATAAAACTATCTTTACGGATTTTTTTTCGGATTTATTTTCGGATGATTTACAGCAATCATGGTCACGGGAGAGACTGAGGTGTTACATGTCTCTAAGGTATTTTATAGTGGTTACAGACAGCCTACCCAAAAATAACAAAATGACTTCAAAAAAAAATTGAAAAAATGGAACCAAATTACCTTGCAATATTTTTTAATTTTAAACATTTTTATAATTTTAATTAGTTTTATATTCGAATATGGAATATTATTTAGTTAATTTTAGCTGTGACTATTATAATAACTAAATTTTTTTGTTTTTTTTTTTAATTAGTAATCTATATTTAGTGTTGCCATTATTATATTTATAACTAAAATAAAGAAAAAATAACATATCAATTATTTTAATCCACATAATTGTTTTATGTGTAATTTAAAAAAGTTTAAATTAATTATTATATTATTTAAAAACAAAATATTAAGCAACAGTATTACTACATACATTTACAAATGAAAAAATGAAAATTTTAATTTGAAATGCTGTCATTTTAATCCACACTGTAAAAACTTACTACATCTAACTGTCTGTTACGTTTAGATTTATTATTTGATTTTAATATATTAATAAAAGGATCCCATAACGATGGTAGTATCCAGCCATCTTCCCTATTAAATTTGGATGTTTTTTAATTTCTATGGCTTCTCGAGTCTTCCTAGGGCGATATCGGTATTCTTTCGCGAGGATTTGAGGTCTATCGAAGCGAATATAATGGCTTGGGCGGTCCTGACTATGTTTGCAGACAGTATTCATGTCGGTATCTATAAATTTTATCACCAATTTGTAGAACTTTAATGTGACATTTATATTTATTTTTATTTATTGTTTCTGATTATTTAGTTTACATCAAAAATATACCTATTGGGATATTTTTCAATTTATTCAACATTATTCATTGATTTTAAAATCCATATTTATATTATAAATGTGAAAGGGTGTTTGTTTGTTTGTCCTTCTTTCTTGTCGAGACAGAGTGGTGGATTAGCGTGATTTTTTGAGTGGAGACAGTTCGAAAGTTGGAAAGTGACTGGAAAACACGTTATAATACAACCCACAACAACTCATCAGACACATGTATATACATATGTATATATATATATATATATATATATATATATATATATACTATACTATACTATGTAGTCCATCCATCCATACTAACCGTTGAAACGTACCTAGGGACGAACTCGAGCGAAGCAAAGGTGAGTCACTAGTGATAATATATTTCGACATTGTAACATTTATCAGGTATGAATAAGAACACGTGACGTAAAAGTCAAGGTATTGTCACCCTTAAGTATATTTTAGTACTAATAAATACAATAGGACCAATGAGTTACAAAAGGTCACAAAGAATTCTAATTTGGCAGGTTGTCGCAATTTGGTCTCGTAGTTTATATTTACAAGCAAACGTCATATTGGAAAAATGGTACGAAAACCAATCTTTGAGAATATTTTCTCCCCAATCCAACTGCATTTTTTTAACGTTGGGAAATGCATTTACGCACGAGGTGTGGGACTCACTGGCAAAGTCAGTACTACCCATTAAAACCCAATAAAACCTTCTCCCGTCTTAATGGGGCGTCGCAGGATCGCTTATGCATTCAACTACGATGCCCCGACGACAGGTCTGCCGAAGCAGACCACAACAATCATGGGGTTGCTCCAAGGTCCACTCTGCTATCAGAGAAGTACCAGGAGCAACCCGCATGGTACACCGCCCACCGAAGAGGGACACCTCCTACCGCCCACCGAAGTGGGCCACCTCCCTTTGCGTTTCTTGGCTTCGCGCCCGGCTGTACTGCCGGGCACTACTGAGCCCCCCCACCACGACAAGGTGAACGCACATTGGGAGGGAACCCAATCCAACTACCTACATAGTGTAAAAAAATATTGTTTCAACAGTACAGACCGTGAAATTTCCTGTAAAATTTATATAAAATATTTTTAATACGACGAATAGTTCATGATTTACAGCTAAGTTATGATTAGCCTACAATTCTTCCACAGATTCGAGTGCACGAATTTTCAGTACTTCTGGTGCCTTAAGGTAAGCTTAGACTACGACACAAATTGCGACATAAATGTCAGACATTAATTTTTGTACTGTTTACATTTTTATGAAATTTTAGTGTCTTATAGTGTTTGTACATAAATGTACGAAAATTGTGTCCGAACTGTTCATAATCCTTGCTTCACGTTAAACTTATTTCAAAGTAGGTACCTACTGTCTTTTACGCGGTGTATTGAAAATATTGAGCCTGTTCGAAAACTTTTCAACCACACCGAACACTTGAACACATGTGTTCACACAGCCTCTGATACGAGACTAATTATCGTATCGCAAATTTCACAATTAGAGACACTCGCGTTCATACAGAGACACTCGGTGTATACACTGAGTGTACCATGTATAGTGTCTTAGTCTAAATCGGTTTTTATATAGTATAATAATAATATTTATTTGCAGTAAAAAAATCAAGTTACAAAAATATACTCTCCATAACTATTTCGCTTAATACATAATAATATAAGATTATCCAGTAGTGCTTAGGAGCTCGTACTAGGGAAACCTGTATTACGAGCACCGTTACCTTCCTCTAGATTTACAATATATGGACCAAATAGTTAACAGTTACTGAAGTTAGTATATACTATATATAGTTCCACCGACTCACCCTCGCTTCGCTCGGGTTCGTCCCTGGGTACGTTTTAAATAAAAATGGATATGATGATGTTCTCCCGACCGATTCCGGCCACGGCGGCCAATCTCATTGAGACTAGCCAACTACGCAGGAGATATTATAGTGCACAAGTGTACGCGCAGACACAGGTGCACTCTCTATTCCTGTCACTCTCATACACCGGTGGGACGACCACTCGACACGACCAGTGAGAGTTAAGGCGCAGGACCGACGGATTTACGTGCTCTCCGAGGCACGGGGGTGAAACACCGCCAACTTCCCAACTCCGGGCTGTTACTGAGACTTACTATACAGAAAGACTCAATAACTAAACTTAGCCCGACCCGGGACTCGAACCCAGGACCTCCGGGTGTGCAGCCGTACTTGCTAGCCACCACACCACCGAGGCAGTTTGAATTTATAATTTGAATGGATATAGTATGTTATCCTTAAGAGATTAATATGCCATCGCGGACTTTTAAGTAGACCTATATAAGATACACAATTCCACCATACATAATTTGTTATATCTCAAAGGGTTTAGGCAGCGTTTTCGTTGAAAGCTTCCAGACGTCTTATTTTTTCCGATACCTCCAACAAATATCGTTATATTTTAACCAATGTATACAAAAACTTAACAAATTATATACTAAAACCTTCCTCTTGAATCACTCTATCTATTAAAAAAACCACATCAAAATCCGTTGCGTAGTTTTAAAGATTTAAGCATACATAGGGATATAGGGACAGAGAAAGCGACTTTGTTTTATACTATGTACTGATGTATAATCTTTCATCTCCTTTTCGCGTGATATTGGCGAAGAAATCTGTGCTCAACTGGCACGCTTTAAAGACAACAAGAAGGAAATTGAATTGAAGCCCTTAACCATAGTAATTAATTTGTATTGGATCTATGTGATATTTTTGACATAGTTTACGAGCTAGCTTATTATTCTGGTATTATTTCCAGTTTCTCATTAAATATTATTCTGTTGACACTACATAAGTGTAGTTAGGCTCACTAGTGTACAATAATAAATTTAACAAACATTGTACCATACCTTTGCCTATTTAGTCATGGTCAATAAGAATGTAGGTTTAATAGTAGAGATGGTCTTGATCCATGTCGTGTTGTGTCAGAAAACAATGAATGAATGAAAACAGAAAAAAATAAAAACCGACTTCAAACAAAAGCACTAAAAAGTTAAAAATAACTGATTGGTAGTTTTCATTTACTATACATACCTAATCAAATATTTTCGAAGTCGGTGTGCTTTGCTTTGTATGGGCTGGCACCGATTTCGAAAATATTTGATTAGGTATGTATTTAATAGGTAGGCTTTAATTACTTAGCCAAAGCATATAGACTTCGAAAGTATTTGATTAGGTATGTATAGTAAATGAAAACTACCAATCAGTTATTTTTTACTTTTTAGTGCTTTTGTTTGAAGTCGGTTTTTATTTTTTTATTAAAAGTTTTTATTTTTCCCTTTTTAGTGTAGACAGTAGTAGCAAAGTAAGAATTCTAACGTGTTAGGCTTGTCAAATCAAACAAAATAAACCTAAACTCAAAGTATCTACTATTAGCCGTTGAAGAGTTCCACCTATCCACCTTCTGGCCTTACCATCAGATCAGGTCAACAATACCGAACCACTGTACTATCAACGGAAAAAGAAACACTTGCAAAGTTTCAAGTCAATATGACAATTAGAAGTAGGTTAAATTCATCATTAGCTATTTTTCCACCCTCAGGGGTGGTATTTTTTTTTGAAATTTAAATGGGACCAATATGGAAGTATACA